GTTCGATATGATGGAATGAAGAGTATAATAGAATAGAATAAATTACTTAGAAACAAAATCACATGTGGCGGCTACCTCCAGACCTGCCAGCAGAGGGCTCCTCTTCCCGCTAGTAGCCGATCCGCCTCGATCCGTATATATACACCGAGACTTCGTCCTACCCTTACGTCTAAGGCAAGGGCCCGCTAGGATAGCCTTACCGATGAGTCCTCTAGCGGGCCCCGGACGAAACGTCTCCCCACTCCTTTCCTTTCCACGACCTCCGAACAGCCGCCAAACACAAGAAAAGAAAATTCGCTTGAGATCGACCGATATAAAATTATAATAAATACTTTCATCGTGTGCGATGGAAAGAGTAGAATGTATTCGTGTCCTAGCAGATTGTACACCGAAAGAGACGCGGTTGCCGACGTAGACAAGAGAATTTAACAGCGGCCAAGCAACCACCGCAGCTTGTCCGACCAAAGTCGGTCCTATTCTACTCGAGCGGTCCGGGCCGCCGTCGAATTCAATTCCCGTTTGCGGGAATGATTAAAAGCAACGTCGACTTGGCCGCACTAATTGACTAGCGCCGGTCCAATAGCACTCTGCGGTCAGTTTTCAGTTTCAAGCTTGAAGCATAGGGCGGTCGACGGCACGTGTACCCTTCGTTCGTGGCGCATTAATAAACGCCGAAAGAGAAAGCAAACGCGGTCGCCAGCCTCGAGGACACTGGACCGCAAATTATATGATTCGTGTCGGAACTTCTAATTGGTGAGAACTATTAACAAACATCGAGCTCGAGTCGACGGTAAGCTGATTATTAATGGATTTGATGCGTTCATGACATTAGACGAAATACGAAACTAGCGAAATAATAGTAATTCTTGCTTGTTGCCATTAATACCGGAATCATATTTACTTCAAATCAAGATCTGTAGTCCTTTGATAAATGGAATATTCTGGAATACATGAAACACAAAATTATTTATGGAATGCGTTAAACTCAAAATTATTTGTAGAATAAATGAAACTCAAAATTATTTGTAGAATAAATTAAACATAAAATTATTTACAAATTAAATTAAGTTTATGTTGTTAAAAGATTGTGGTTAATAGCAAACCTATATTAACATGTTAAATAGCAACCTGTTATGTACGAATATTATTTCATTCTTTTAAATCGAAATAAAATTCTGTTCTCCTCTGATGAACATTTAAACATTCGTGCGATCTCGCCTCTCGTTGGTCACTGTTTTTCGTTGATAATTCGTAAACAAAGCCGCGGATTGCATTTTCGCTAAGAAAAAGAGTTACTGCGAATGACCTCAGGAATCATCCCTTTCCGGCTGTTAACATAATTATGGGATACCCTGTATATAAGAATAAGAAATATATGTATAACAATAACAACAATAATAATAAAAATAAAAATAAGAAAATAAATACATACTTTCTTTTGTTCTTAGAAATTGTTACAGACGAAAAGCCTCTATTCGTTACAACTGCAAAGAAAATGGTACAGCAAAGGGTTAACGAGAAAAAGTTCCCTACAGCTCTTGCATTTTATGATTGATGCGCGAAACGTTCACTTTGCATAAAAGTTTCCAATGCACCGACAGCGAAACAATACCCAGGCTCGGGGAACCGAATGCAACCTGTCGGTAAAACAATCCTCGATCACCGAACAGGCTATACTTCATGCAAATCAGGAGTCTACTTCTCGAAGCTCGGCCCAAGAAATTTCATTTCGCCTCTTCCGTCATTGACTTTCGAAGCCCCGAGCCGTAATAACGCTTATTCCTTTACCATTGAGATTCGGCAGCCAGCCGTTTGCTTTTTTCCCCCACGGGCCAGCCGCGTGGATTTCGTTCGTGGAATTATTAGAATTCGATATCGCGACCGCGAACTTCGCGACGCTACGGAGAGAATTTATATTTCCATTCTTAGAGGGGGGTATGTGCTTTGGAGAAAAGTGTCGTCGAGCAGGCGTCGGTATTAATTGAGTTTGCGACGGGGGAGGCCGCGTAACGGGCCGCAACAATATAAATTGATTCAATTTGCCTGCCGCCACGGCTTCTCTCGTTGCCGAAGAAAACGGCCGTCGAGCGTAATTTCGACCGGGAGCCCGGTTTTCCCCTCTGCGAGCTTCCCCATGATTCCCCCGCCTCCCGCTTTCCCAGAGGCGCGACGAGCTTTCACCGCGCGATCAAATCCGGCGAACTTTCTATCGCGTGATTCGCGAACAGCTGCGGCTTTTCCGAACGTCAATTTTTCCTCGACGTGGATTTCAGTTCTCCCGGGATTTTTCGTTCGATGTTGGCTAATTATCTGCCCGGATTTTTATCAATGCAATGCAGTTTTTCGAAGAACGATATTCAAGCGAACAAACGTCTGTCATTGTAATTATTCGTATAGTCGAAACGTGGCCTTTTCGTTTCTGAATGATAAAAGAAAATAACAACGTATTTCACATTCTTGGTATTAGCTGTTGTACCGAGTGTGCTCAATTTCTTTTCTTCGGAGTCGGTAAAATGAAAGAGAATCGAGACCTTCATTTTCTATTCCATTAAATATTTCTTTTTTCGTTTCTTTTTTTGGTACTGTTATGTCTTACATATACTTAACGTGGATATTTTTCCTTTAACGATACAAACAAATGACAAAGAATTGGGCATATTTTTGGTGTTGACTATTGTACGGAATGTACTAAATTTTCTTTAGAATTGACAAAATGCATGAAAATTAAAAGATTCATTTTCTGTTCTATCGAATAACTTACTTCAATTTTTTGGTTTCATTCTGTTAATCGTCGCACGAATTAGAAAGAGAATATTCAAGATATGGAACAATAAATTAACTCCTTGCATTACGATTTCTTTTACAGCTACAGTAATCCACAAAAGTGTTCGTACACCTTTTAAAGCGCAATAACTTTTTCAAAACCGAACCAAATAACTTGATTTTTTTTTTTAGTTGATAGTGGGAATAGTCTACTAGACGATGACTAAAAAGCTTTTTTTTAATTCTTCTATTACTTGGAATGAAAAGAAACAATTAAAAACCCACGTTTTTTTTAACTTTTTTATTTGAGCCTATAACGAAAACTTAAAAAATGCCTTTTGTAGATCTCTGTAACTTATATGCATGTCGAAAATTTTATCGAAATCGGTTCACGTTGTTTATGAGTTACAACAAATTAAAGATTGGAAAAATCGCAGTTTTGTCACGATTTTGACCAAAAACTGTAAGAAATCTGCAGTTTTTAACCTTTTAGGTACGGCTGAATTCTGCGCGAGGCAATTTCTCTGTATGGACGGCAGAGTCTGATGTGTACTGTACAGAGCCTGATACTGTATATACAGGGTGTCCCAAAATAGTTATTGCGTTTTAAATGATATACGAACACTTTTATGAGCCACGGTATGTCGATTAGTACTTCGTTATTATAAATAATTCCTAGGAAGAGGAAGAAAGTATGAATTTATTGCATGCCCGTGTGGATTTAATTGCCAAATAAACAGAGAAATAAAAATTTATTACCATTTTTTAAAAGACTAAAAGTAACATTCACATTTAGCAGCAATATCCAAACGGCTTCTTCATTTCGCCAAGAATTTTTATTCCCGACAATACTTGCGTCGTCGCAATGACCAAGCAAATCTCGCTCGGACATAGTTCCAGCATTCGATATGTTTGACTTCTCCACGGAATCGACGGTGCATCGATTACGACCATTCAATCGCAATTCGCTGCACTTTGCAGTCGTCGGCCGACGGTGAAAAAAAAGACTGCTGCTCGTCCGAGCATGTCGGGATAAAAGGAGTATAGGAAAATGACGGGTATTTAAAACGGAAGTGTTAGAGAGATAGAGAGACAGGGGGAGAGAGGAAGAGAGGGAGTGCGAGAGAGAGAGAGAGAGAGGCTGCTCCGAGTGCTTTTGTCGAGAACGCGGGGGCGGTCGCCGGCACATCGATCCTACGGGTGCAGTCTGGTAGGGCCGACCCTTGTGGAAGGGTGCACGCCGATGAGATAGCAGGAAATTGAATAGTGCTTTCACTTGATAGTGAGCCGAAGTGGCACTGTCACTATGCGCAAACCGTCCGCCCGCTCGGTTAAACGTCACGGGCCTCGGCCGCGATTGTGAACGATCTCGATCGCCGTTTAATCTTCATTTCCCTTCATTCGGTCCGCGTAACGCGCGCGCCTGCATCTTTTTCCCTCGAGCCGTTTCACGCGCGCATTATCGCCCGGACCTAATCGGACACGCATGTTCGTCCATAAATACGGAAACAGACGAGCTTCGTACGATTCTCAAAAGTAGTTACACGGAAGAATTATCTTAAGAGAATTTCAATTATAGAAATCGACTCGGCGCAGCTCCTAAAACATCTATCATATTAATTACAAAGATTATCCTATTTATATTACCAATGAAGTATATATCATAATTGCACTGTTAAGAAAGTGTATCGTAATTGCGGTATTAATAAAGTGTATTACACTTGCACTGTCGCGTCATCCGTACGCAGCTATCAAAATTATTGATCGAATTTGAAAATTAATTTCTATACCGATTCACCGCATCTTACCAATTTCACTAGATTCCCTAAAACGTAAGAATCTTGGAACTGTTATCGATGTTAAAAAATGTCGCTTCTCCATTTCAATTTGGTTAACAGATTGGCTGCCAACCACGAGTTGTCTCGCGGCGATCACCCATCACGACGCGTTTGTAAAAAAAAAGGATTTATTTCTCACTATCTGCCTGTTATTATTTATCTATTCAAAGAAAAAAAAAGACGTTCACGTCTCGAACAGATTTCTTCAAATTACACCCGGCAGTCAACGTGACAAATGGAACACTTTGATTTCGCGAAGACTTTCGAGGTTGTTGGCATGGCAGTCAAAGTGTTGCACCTTGAAACAACGCGAAAAATCATTTCGACCAAGAAAAACGGGATTCCAGGCCGCCGACTGTTTATTAACGATGCATCCTTCTTTTTTGTTATTGATTGCAGAGATTAAAATGTCCGGGACGGAGGCTCACGGCGGCGATACGAGTCCCACGCGCCAGCCGAGGTAATTAAAAAGTAATCCTTTTCAATTTAGTCAGTCGCGTCTTCAGCCCCGCTCGCCCCCCTCTGGCACCCTCGGACTTTCACGGCTCCGTCGCGAGAAAAAAGTGTCGCGCGAAACAACGAACCGCCGTTCCGTTTCACTTAGGCGATTCTCGCGGACTACACTCGTCCACCGAAACTTTTTACTCTCTTAATCCGTTTACCACTCGCCCGGCTCGACAAGCGCCATTTTTCTTGCTTTTCTTTTTCTGGTGCCGTGGCGACGGTAAACCAAAAGGATGCTCATCGTGCGAACGCAGCGGGACGTTTAATCGCGAAGACGCCGCACCATGGGCCAGAATATACCCGAAAACGGTGAAAAATATTTTCTGCTTAAATCACACATATATTTGTGTCCCTACTTTTCAATTATTTTTGCCATAAGCCCTTGATATGTATAATATTTTTAGCTGAAGAAAATATTAAATTCGAAATACGTATATCGACTGTACGATACAAATGAATCAATTAATGACTCGGGAACGAATAATTAATGACCAACGCACACCATGTTATCAACGAGTTAAGAACAACCTAGTACGAAGTTAACATTTCGACGTTTCACCTGGTGCATCTTATGAAATTAAGTTGAGATTATTTGATGATGTTGTTCTGGATGACTTGCAGAGAAAGACAAAAGTTAATTTTCAATGTTCATTCCTCGAAGGAAGTTCATTCCAGCACTGCTGGGCACAAAGTAGCTGCTACTTTTTGTTTACATTTTGTTTACATTTTTTTCTACCGATTAAACGATTGAATTCGACTAAATAAATCTTGAATATTCAAGATGAGAATAAAAAATATCGAACAACATATAAGTCAAGAAAAATGAGTACACTTACACGAAATATACAATAGATTACGGCTGTCCGTGTGAATTCCTATTTCAACATCTGCTCGATAATAATTGGAATCGACCGAATAATTCTTTCCCCGATTCAACCGTTACTTATGTTAACTAGAGGAATAATAACAATAATTTTGGTAGCAGTATCGGTGCCAAATAATATTTTCACTCGGAAATATTAAAGATAAGAAAATACAATTGACAAAAATTGCCAAGTTAACGAAGAAATGATTTGTTTTTTTCTTGGACATATCGAAATACAGATTATAGAGAAGAATTAAATTCGATTCTGTCTTCGAAACCGATGACGGTTTTGAGAAAATTGAGTTTGAACTTTCGCGAAGCACGCGTGCGTTAGTACAAGATCAGACTTTCTACGAGCGTGNCAGATTGGCTGCCAACCACGAGTTGTCTCGCGGCGATCACCCATCACGACGCGTTTGTAAAAAAAAAGGATTTATTTCTCACTATCTGCCTGTTATTATTTATCTATTCAAAGAAAAAAAAAGACGTTCACGTCTCGAACAGATTTCTTCAAATTACACCCGGCAGTCAACGTGACAAATGGAACACTTTGATTTCGCGAAGACTTTCGAGGTTGTTGGCATGGCAGTCAAAGTGTTGCACCTTGAAACAACGCGAAAAATCATTTCGACCAAGAAAAACGGGATTCCAGGCCGCCGACTGTTTATTAACGATGCATCCTTCTTTTTTGTTATTGATTGCAGAGATTAAAATGTCCGGGACGGAGGCTCACGGCGGCGATACGAGTCCCACGCGCCAGCCGAGGTAATTAAAAAGTAATCCTTTTCAATTTAGTCAGTCGCGTCTTCAGCCCCGCTCGCCCCCCTCTGGCACCCTCGGACTTTCACGGCTCCGTCGCGAGAAAAAAGTGTCGCGCGAAACAACGAACCGCCGTTCCGTTTCACTTAGGCGATTCTCGCGGACTACACTCGTCCACCGAAACTTTTTACTCTCTTAATCCGTTTACCACTCGCCCGGCTCGACAAGCGCCATTTTTCTTGCTTTTCTTTTTCTGGTGCCGTGGCGACGGTAAACCAAAAGGATGCTCATCGTGCGAACGCAGCGGGACGTTTAATCGCGAAGACGCCGCACCATGGGCCAGAATATACCCGAAAACGGTGAAAAATATTTTCTGCTTAAATCACACATATATTTGTGTCCCTACTTTTCAATTATTTTTGCCATAAGCCCTTGATATGTATAATATTTTTAGCTGAAGAAAATATTAAATTCGAAATACGTATATCGACTGTACGATACAAATGAATCAATTAATGACTCGGGAACGAATAATTAATGACCAACGCACACCATGTTATCAACGAGTTAAGAACAACCTAGTACGAAGTTAACATTTCGACGTTTCACCTGGTGCATCTTATGAAATTAAGTTGAGATTATTTGATGATGTTGTTCTGGATGACTTGCAGAGAAAGACAAAAGTTAATTTTCAATGTTCATTCCTCGAAGGAAGTTCATTCCAGCACTGCTGGGCACAAAGTAGCTGCTACTTTTTGTTTACATTTTGTTTACATTTTTTTCTACCGATTAAACGATTGAATTCGACTAAATAAATCTTGAATATTCAAGATGAGAATAAAAAATATCGAACAACATATAAGTCAAGAAAAATGAGTACACTTACACGAAATATACAATAGATTACGGCTGTCCGTGTGAATTCCTATTTCAACATCTGCTCGATAATAATTGGAATCGACCGAATAATTCTTTCCCCGATTCAACCGTTACTTATGTTAACTAGAGGAATAATAACAATAATTTTGGTAGCAGTATCGGTGCCAAATAATATTTTCACTCGGAAATATTAAAGATAAGAAAATACAATTGACAAAAATTGCCAAGTTAACGAAGAAATGATTTGTTTTTTTCTTGGACATATCGAAATACAGATTATAGAGAAGAATTAAATTCGATTCTGTCTTCGAAACCGATGACGGTTTTGAGAAAATTGAGTTTGAACTTTCGCGAAGCACGCGTGCGTTAGTACAAGATCAGACTTTCTACGAGCGTGGAATTTTCAAGTTGTCGGAGAGACGGCAAAAGGTCATCGAACAAAATGGAAAATACATTACAGATGAAACTTCGTTCCAAGTAAAAAAAAATTCTTTTATTTCATCGAACAAATCGGCAATTACTTAGTTGCCAACCCAATAAATACACTCGTTCCCGTCGGTAATTAATTGAATTAAAGAAGCGACAGCACTGTGAATAATAATTTTATATCTCAGTCATTTTTTTTAAGGTGGACTTTCCTTGAAATCAAGTAGTAAAATGAAACAAAATCAGCAAATGTTCAATTAATTATCTGTGTAGTACGTTCTTTTAACTTCAAGAGCGCTTATGAAACGGCACTTTTCACCGCTTGCGCGTCTCTCGTCCCGTGGTGCGTCGTTCCGGACTCTCGCCGCTCCGCGCCGTGGCAACGAAAAAGGCTGTCGCGAGTTAATTGGAATAACGAGATTATTAGAGCGCGGCGCGATGAACTTCTGGCCCGTTCTTTCCGCGAGTTCGTGCGATTCTCCGGCGCGTCTCGACTCGGCCCTTTCCCGACGCATCGATGCTAATGAAGCGGCAATTATCCGAGACTCCGGAGCGCTCGCGAAGGAAATCCGCTCGCTCAAAGGGCGGCCGGCGACTCGAGCTGCTTAATTGAAGGGCGCGATCCTTCAAAGGCAACGGGATATTAAGCGATCAACGTGTCCTCGCGTGTTATCGGCCGTGAAGTCCCGCGACGCATTGTCTGCCACGCTTTCTGTTACGGACGCCACCCTCCCGCCCCCCCCCTGTCGCCGCAGTCGGCTTTCAGACGGTGCTCGTTTTATCTGCGAATTTCAGACAGAGCAGAATTCACAGCGTGGAGCTGCCGGCACGGGCCTCGCTGCTTCCGGAACCGCCGCCCACCGGAAGTGGCGTCCCACCGCCAATACCGCGACGCCATTCCGCTGCACCTGCGGTAAGTCGATTCGAAACTGTTTCGGTTTTTATTTAAACAGTTTTGGTTTGAAATCGTCGGGGGAAACTGGTGAGGCGGAGACGGTTCGCGACTGCCGATTAGGACGTCGTATGGAACCGGAAACATTTCGATTGCGAATGTTACAGTTTCAGACGGGAAAAGCGTTTGTTACATTTGGTCGAGACACAAACAACTTCCGTTTCTTTATCAGACATCTCTTTTCTTTTCTTTCTTTATTTCTTGTTTATTCTATTTATTACGTACCCTTATAAGCAAAAACTCGTTCGTCCCGGTGGCTCGTAGTGTCCTAATAGAATCATGAATGTATCAAATTCGTGGGATAGCGGTGGCCGTTAAATTTATTTAGAGAGCAAGTTTCATCTTCGTACATTTTAAATGCTGATACAGATTATGGAAGATGATAATCGGCGATACTGATTATTAAAGATGTCCCGGTGAGTGGCGATGTAGATTGTTAGACTGCGGATTTTATGCAATTATTGACAAAAATTGGTATTTGTAATCTTAAAGAGAAGGAAGAGCAGAGGAATTAAAGCGTATCGATACATTGTGCTTTCGACCTATTATAATTAAAGAAAGGGAGAAGTTCTCAAGTGACTCCTGATTCTTGCAAGAAATGTAGATAATTTTTATTTTATATAAAAATCCACAGTCTACCGATTCTAAAAGATGTTCTGGCGATTGGCGATACTGATTCTAAAAGATGACGTAGCAATTGACGATACTTACAATTAAAGATATCCTATTGATCGGCGATAGTTTGCCAATAGTTAATTCAAAGTTACGCGTCGTCTGCGAATTTTCCTCCGAGATTCGAGGCAAAAATCGATCCCATCGGATCACGATTCCAAAATTACGCAATCGGAAAAGGGCAGCAACATCTCGATATCGGTATCTAAAGAAGAGGATGAAAGCTCTTTCCGTTCGCCTAAGCTCGCCAGTTTCCGCAGAAACACATCTTCTCGTCCGAATCACCACATTCTACTGCCACAAAGTCACTATCACCTCGCAGGTCTCTTTTATTTCGCAGACAAAACACGAAACAGTTCACAAAACACACGACAACATCGGCACGGCAACTTTGGAACCGCGAGCGATTATCGGCTCACGCTCGGTGGGGGTTATTGTTTATTAAATCGAGGAGGCTGTTGGCAACTGGAGCCGACAGTTCGGTCCGGAATCGCACAAAAGTATGCCACGCGAAGGGGGAAGGGGGGCGGATCTCTTTGATCGTCTCTCCGGGGATAGGCTTCTTCGAGGGAAGTTCAGCGACAAGGGAAAATCGAGAGCCACGTAATTTCGGCCGGTCGTTGGCTAAATCGCTGCGTTAAAGCCGAGCCCGGTGGTTAGCGGCTTGGCGACGTTCCGCGAATTAACAACGACAGAGCGAAAAGCGATGGCGTATTCTAGGCGGGCGTGTATAGCTCGTGTAGCAGCTACGTGGCCGCGTATTAAATCGAGCAGAAGCGACGAAACATTCTCCGCAGGGACGCGTTCGTAGGACTCGTTCGTCCCCGTGCCTCGAACCCGGCCGCGTAATTACCGAGCAAACGAGGATTTAATGGATCAACCGGGACACCGGTCTCGGTTTTTCCGAGACCGCGGATAAATCTGGACGAACGCGGGCCAATCGTCACCGTTCACACACTCGCACACCTCACACGGACACGCATTGGACAATTAGACGCACGCAAGTATCCTTTCAGCTGTTACTTTTTCAGCTACGGGAACTTTCCAGGATCGTTTCAGGTAGACTTTACGCTTTACGCGTGACCCCACAGTCCTGGAAAGCATAAACTTTGACAGCGAACGAGACTGTAATTTTGGTTGCGCGATCGAACGTTGTCACTCATTGATTAAATAATAATTACTACGCTGCGGATTTCACGTATTTATGATCAAGTTCGGTGGATGCAGTTGAAAATAGTAAAACGATTCGAAGAATTTCAAAACGTTGATGTATTGTTTCAAATCTATTAAAATGATTGAAGAAAGAACGGGCCGAAATTACGAGCATGCTATTTAAGCGATGTTGACTATTTTTATTTTTCACGTAAATCCGCAGTCTACATACATTTAGTCAATTACTTTCTCTCCCTCTCTCTTTCTTCTTTTTGAATAACATTCGAAAATTGCTCCATTAATTAACACACGCAACAACTGCAAAGTGTTAATTAGGTTGGCCTTAAGACGATCTTTTCTACTGCCATACTTTCTCGAACCTTGGCACATCGCTACAGAATTATTTTCATTGTTCATTTCCAAAGACGCGATTCTACTTTTATTTATGCCTCTGGCATTTAAATTGTCAAGAAACGCGCGGTAGATTATTTTTACAATGCATTTCATCCTCGTGCCGTGTTTACATCAACGCGGTAAATTATGTTTAAATTTACTTACTAATTTTTTCACTTTATCCTCGTACCGTGTCCGCATCGTCGCAGCAAATTATTTTAAAATTCGTTTTATAATTCTCTTCGTAATCCCCGTGCCGCGTTCGCATCGCCGCAGCAAGTTATTTAAAAATTCGTTTTATAATTCTTTTCATAATCCTTGGGCCGTGCTCGCGGCAAATTATTTTAAAATCCATTTTATAATTCTCTTCTCGATTCTCCTACTTGGATCAACATAATCCACGAGATAGTTCAGTCCTCGTCCTCCGAGTGTTGTTACGATTACACAAACACTGCAGAATAATTCAACGTTAAACGGAACTGAACAACTCGTGTGGCCTCGTGGCAAACACTGTTTTCGCCTGCGCATTTATTCCCCTCGTCCCGGCGAACGGTAGATTCGATCCTGAACAGCGTCTTTCGCAACCGAGCCTGACTATTGTCGTCCCATTCTACTGCATGCTTACAACACCGAATTGGTCTCGAGGGGTCTCTCGCGGACGGAATAGGGGAGAGGCAGCGAAAGGGACTCGACCGGGTAACTTGTTGATGCAGGTAGCTCCTCCACCGATTCCATTGCGGCCGCCAGCGATCCCCAAGAGAAGGAAAAACGAGAAACCGATACCGATACAGCTGCCGACGAGACAGGACAGTCGGAACAGTCGGAACAATCGGAAGACGAGCGACCACCCGGCGCCGAACAACGCGTCCGCGATCGCTTCTTGGGTCCGGGAGAGCGAGAAGCTGATCGATCTGGGTCCTATCCGGACCCAAGACCAGAGAACCACGCCCGAGTATTCGTTGAGTTTCTCCAGCAAAGAGGAGACCAGCGAGGACAGCGACTTCGTCGCCGACTTCGACAAGGCGAACTTCGAGGAGGGCTGCAAGCTCAGCCAGAAGTCGAGCTTCGAGGAGCTGCAGAAGGCTTCCCGCGATCTCGAGAAGAGGCTGCACGAGAGGATCGTCAAGAGCGCCGAGACGAAGTTCAAAGATCATCAGGCCGCCAGAGACGAACGACAGAGACTGGGGACACAGCAGAACAGGTAGGCTGCATTCTTAACTCTTTATCGAGCTTTATCTTTACCTACCTAATTAGGCACTTCGATTACCTAATTCGTTTTCTTAGACGTTCGTTGACACCGGAGCAAGCGCGTCCGATGACCTCGATTTTTAACTAGATTCGGGATTCTTCTTTTTTTCATTGTAATACAGGCTGAGTTATTCGACTCTTTCACCGTAACATTCTTTTATGCAACACCTCGTGAAGAATTCCGCGTTAGCTTTCGCGCGTAATAATCCTTGGCGAGTGAAATTACGATAATCTGATAACACGCATAATCTTGTCACGTATAATGGCGAAGCAATATTACAGGGGGCGAAGGACCGAATAAAATTTCTCTCGACTTGTCGCTGTTTCAGAAACGATCGACGTAACGCGCAACGGTTGTTGCGATTCGCGAACACAATTACGTGTGCAATCCTTTCTCTGCGAGACGGTCGGTCTTCGATGCACTATCGAGACGGCAAGGATCGATACGAGCTCGCTGGATAGACCACGACACGCGCGAAATCTCGTATTCCCCTATTTTTATATTTCTCGGTTCATACTGTCGTTTGTAATATTACAGTGCTCGTGCATCTACAAAATCAAGGTTGCACGTTTCGTGCAATTATTTCAGCCGTTTATTTTGAAAGTGGCATAAGTCACTTTGTTTTTAAGTCGATATATTTAAGGGTTTGCGTTTTAACACGTTTGAAAATATGAATGCTAACCTTCGAGAAGATTTACTTCTATTTGTTATCTCAACATACTGATATTTTTCTCGGTATAAATAATTTCGTATAAACATTAAAAAATCACCACTTTTCATTGCGGTAAAGTGACTTGAGCCACTTTCAAAATAAATAGTTTAGAAAAATCACTGACATATATTAATTTTGTCCGACGTATTTTACCGAAGCGATGTTTCGAAAGGACAGTGATTTACTAAAATTGTCGAATAAATTACATATATAATAATAATTTATGCCATGAATATATTTAATATAAAGGCTTGATTTAAGTATTTTTTATGTTAATATTCATAAAATACAAAATTAATTAGTACATTTTGAAACATAAGTATAAGTAATTTATATGAAAATACATCGGTTCAATTTAATTTTCGTCATCGATAGGAGCGATCAAGTCCTCGGAAATCGTGATTTGTTTCAAATTTTTTAAATAACTGTGGTATATCGGGGGTATATAATTAAGCTATAATATGCTGAAGAATATAATTAAGCTATAATTTGCTGAAGAAACAGGACGAGATCCAGCGTATAACGGATCCATTTCTATTTGTGAATAACGCCTGGGTCTTCCTCTTTTTGCTGACAAATCCAAAGTTAGAAATTCATCTTTTTCATCTAAAGTTAGTTTATCAAACATTTTATAGCCATCTGCTGGTGGGTCTGGAGGTAGCCGCCACGTCGCTATAATATAATTTACAAAACTGCACTATTCTTCCGCACTTATAAAAAAAGTCCAATGATCACAACTTTTTTAAAAATACTGAAAATAATTCAAAACAATACTTCGCACACACTTATCGCACGTTTCTATTTCTTTTACACTAAGCCCCGCAATGAATTTACTGAGTACAGCGACTTGCGCCACTTTCAAAATAAACATGTTTGTTATACCGTTAATTAGCAAAACTTCTCTCGAACAAATCTCAATAGTTCTCAACTTATTGATTGCAACTTTTTTAAAAATGAGAAGATACCGTTCAATTGTAATTAGTGTTACCTAATGGTAACACTTTTTTTTAAAAAAGTGACTTATGCCACTTTCAAAATAAACGGCTCAATTATTGCAAGCGCCAAGCTTCGTTTCAATGTTTAAACATTGTTAATGAAAGCGTAGAATTTTGTTACCATTTCAAAGACGAAGCTAACATCTGTATTTAGTATTAGTAGCTAATTATTGAAGTCGTAAAGCTGCTTCCATTAGAAATTGTTGAATATATTTCTTTATTCGGACATGCGCTATTATAAGGATTGTGAAAAATTCGAATAAGCTTTGTCTTGTAATTCTCATGAAAAAAAAGACAACACTTGTCAGCCACTTTCGGACCTCGGTAGGTTAGCGTTAAGCGACAGAGTCTCGAAAGTGGAAGCACGCGTCGCGCGGCTTTCTTCCTTGTAACCACAGATTTATCAGGATTCCTTGTGCGGAAATTGGTGTGGAGCTTAAGATCCCCGGTGGCGTAGAGTGCTCGAGCACAGGTCGCGTGCGTGTTCCAGGGCTCGGCTCGAATTAGTAGCGCGATGCTGTTAGCTTGTTAAACGAACCGCGAGTTTCGACTTTATCCCGACTACACGGCCGATTTGGTCTAGTCCGGCTTTGTCTAGCCTAGTCCGGCCTGGTCTAGCTTTTTGTCTCGCCTAGTCTCTTTCGCCTCCGGCGTTCTCTCGTAACCAGCAGCCTGTTTTAATTCTCCGATGCTTACAGCATTCGTGGTCTTTAGTGCGCGCTCGGCGAAGAAAACGCCGAGATAAAAGCGTCTCCTCCGTGTCCCAGGGGTGTCGGGTTTCTTTTCGCGACGACAAAGCAGACGACGGTGGTTCCGTGTCATTTCAACGGTCGTTGAAAGGATTGGCTGACGCATTAATTTGCGCCGGAAGTGATTACACTCGAACTTTTATCGACATGAAAGTGCAATCTTTATTCTGGCACCGAATAGAACACGTTTCGTAATATTATTAATATTATTGGCAGTGTTGTTTCAACAGGAACGACGTTGTTGTCCTTCTGCTTGACCTTTTTTTTTTTATCATACGACTCTCCAGATTTTTGTATAAAAATATCTTTTCTTATTTAATCCCTTACCGTACCATTTTCTACGTGATTAAAACGAGTGTAAAAGCTTTCGATTGTAATCATTCTTTAGAAGACAAAGAAAAAAATATATATATACAGGGTGTCCCAAAAATGTCTCGTAATTCGGAAACGGCGAGTTTCTCGGATCATTTGAAGCAACTTCTTCCTTTAAAAAAATGTTCTCCGAGGCACCGTTAACGAGTTATTAACGAAAAACAGTGACCAATAAGAATCGAGTACGGCTGATGCGAGGCGGCCCAGCCAACCAGCGTGCGAAGCCCAGTTCCGGTCATCGGCTCGGTCGCCTCGCGCCAGCCGAGCTCGCCTCTCATTGGTCACTGTTTTTCGTTAATAACTCGTTAACGGTGCCGCGGAGAACATTTTTGTAAAGGAAAAAGTTGCTTCAAATGACCCGAGGAACCCGCTACTTTCGGATTGCGAGACATTTTTGGGAGACCCTGCATATATATTATGTGTATTGTACATCAACTTGAATACTTAAATATTGACGTCAAAAAGACAGAATTGTATTCCGGTCTAAAAGAATGGAATAACATCCAAATAGATTANGGCACCGTTAACGAGTTATTAACGAAAAACAGTGACCAATAAGAATCGAGTACGGCTGATGCGAGGCGGCCCAGCCAACCAGCGTGCGAAGCCCAGTTCCGGTCATCGGCTCGGTCGCCTCGCGCCAGCCGAGCTCGCCTCTCATTGGTCACTGTTTTTCGTTAATAACTCGTTAACGGTGCCGCGGAGAACATTTTTGTAAAGGAAAAAGTTGCTTCAAATGACCCGAGGAACCCGCTACTTTCGGATTGCGAGACATTTTTGGGAGACCCTGCATATATATTATGTGTATTGTACATCAACTTGAATACTTAAATATTGACGTCAAAAAGACAGAATTGTATTCCGGTCTAAAAGAATGGAATAACATCCAAATAGATTAAATATAAAAATCTTCATCACGAGTCAGACTGGTCTAAATATGGCAAGGGTTTAAATGAAGATTAGAGAATACAGTAAATTCTCCCTAATTGACGTTTATATTGTGCACAAAAATGGACAATTTGGGAAGAGGAGATACGATTATTCGAACCTTGCGGTTCGTTTTTGTAATTGTTGACAACCGATAACTATAAAAACAGGCTGCAAGGCCGAATAATCGTATCTCCTCTTACCAAATTGTCCATTTTTGTGTACACGAACGTAACAAACGAGATTTATCGAAGTATAATCGTCAAAATTTTCTATATCTCATTTGTCTGGACAAATTTTTAAAGCTGTTACAATTAAAGATTAAATATTCTGGCGCGCCCTGCTGTAATTATTGCGCGAAAGCGGAATTATTGAAATGGACTTGACAAAGATTTGGACAGTATGAGAAACAAAATCAAACTGTAGAATAAGATGCCGGTAATGTCTTTCAGAGTTATCCGAATCAATTCTCGTTCACGCGGAACACAAGAATCCTTTCCCGTCCTCTAATGGAGAAGTTTCTGCTCTATTTTCGATGCAATTATCGACATCCGGCAAGTTTTCTGATAATAGAGAATAGCAGGAAAAGCGGGGCAATTAGAAAGTCCCGGCCGGTGACTGGTTCTATTAAATTACCGCTACGGTTAATAAACCGAAATTCCCGTTCTTGACGTGCGCTTCGCATTCGCGGCGGAATTACTAGCCCGGGGAATATTTCAAGAAAACGGCATAGTTACGGGCTCCTCGTCTTCCAAGGAAATAATATTACACGTCCACAGAGCCGGATTAAAGTTTGCGATAGCTTCCAGAAACTGTTCCAGCGAAGGTAACAGGAATTCAGCTATCGGGGCTTCAAACTTTAAATAATATCTCAGCATTGCAATATTCTGCAATATATTATAATAAGTATTTAACCTATATGCTATCGTACGCGGCCTTACAAACTGCAGTTTCGAGATGCACTTTACATTGATCGGATCGATAATATTTACTTTGTTATTTAGGCGGGGCTATTTGCTCGCGAAACATGCGAAAAGTGAACGATCCGAAGGTTTAGTTTCGTAATAAAAAAACATTCTATTGTCTAAAATAATTTCGTTTTGGTTCTCTATTAGGTAACAATGTAGCTAAAATAATACGATGATCAGATAATGGAACGTTTGGGTGCCAGAATATTGTAAAAACAATTGTCCGGGTAAGGTTATATTCCACTGTATATTGAATTACAACATATCATTGTATTGGGTTGGCAACTAAGTAATTGCTGCTGAAGCAGCCCGGGACATTCGCAACATATACGGAGAAGGAAACTACAGCACGGAAATGGTTTGCAAAGTTAAAAAATGACGATTTTGACGGTCGCCAAACAAGTCGTGAACTGGCCGAAAAAATGAACTGCGATCATAAAACGATTCTCAATCATCTTCGTTCAATGGGATTTGCCGAAAAATTGGGAGCCTGGGTTATATTCGAATTCAGAAGATCTTACGCTGCGGGACGTGTCTTCGACGTCAAAATCGTCATCTTTGAACTTCCGAATACGTTGCAAATGTCTCGGGCTGCTTCAGCAGCTTTTTGGTCTCGATGAAAAGCGAAAAAGTTGCAAAAATGTCGAAAATGTTGCTTTCTACCTCCTGGATATTCCATTTCTAAGCCTAAAAAGTAATAAAAAATTAAATTGCTCATAAAGACGATTAGCACAGTTTTGTAGAGCAGAAAGAGCTGAATATTATACACTTTGTCGAACAGCAAGAAATCGTTGTAAAATAAAAGAAAATATAAAAACGCTACGAACCTATTCTCCAACCCAATAGTATAATTTAACTTTTCGAAATAATCAAATATTGGGTTGGCAACTAAGTAATTGCCGATTTCAGTTATAGACGTCTCTCACTCCCATTTTTATCATATCCGTAAATGTTATATTATAAAATTATTATTATTATTATATGTTATTTTTTATTATCCGCGAATGTTAGCAACTGGACAAATTGAATGCAGCGGTCAAGGAAAAGCGACCAGAATCGGTCGATCGTAAAGGTGTCATTTTCCAGCAGGACAATGCTAGGCCGCACACGTCTTTGTCCGCTCGGCAAAAATTGATGGATATTGCTTGGGAATCGATGTTACACCCACCATATAGCNCTCGGCAAAAATTGATGGATATTGCTTGGGAATCGATGTTACACCCACCATATAGCTCGGATCTCGCGCCATCGGATTACCACTTATTTCGATCTCTGGACAACTCCCTTCGTGGTAAAACTTTGAACGACGACGACGCTGTAGAATCTCAGTTAACTCAGTTTTTGGCCGAAAAGGATCAGACTTTCTACGAGCGTGGAATTTTCAAGTTGTCGGAGAGATGGCAAAAGGTC